CCGGTCCTGCAATGCAATCAGAAGTTAGCCTTTCCAGACCAGAGCCTTCCGAGAATGATACCTCTAGTGAGTTTTCCTGGCCCAATGAGTTTGACTCACCGCCGCATCGTCGTTGGAAACTGGAGCAAATGGGGTCTGCGAGCGATGGATTTCCTACAGAATGTCCTGACCTCCAGACGCCCGCAGATGAGACTGCAGAGACTCCGCCAACTGCTGGCAGCAAGCGAAAGTTCAAGTGGGGGTCTTGAAAGGTGGTAAGCCACCTCCAGAAAGCCGTCACCGTTTGGATCAGTGCAAAGGATTTGATCAGCTGACTCCCAGATGTGTCGTGCTTACAGATGGAGCACCGGTCTACCCCAAGATTTGCAAAGACTATAAAGTCAAGCACTTTTCCTGCAACCACTCGCAGGGAATTTTTATATAATATTCGTCGTCGTATCGGAGGAAAGACGATTGATATTCACACAGGCGGCATCGGCCTGTGGCGTCTCATGAAGGAAGGTGTGCCCCATGCTTTGTCCAGTAAGAAGACCGCAGCCATCATGCGCTGTGTGCGTCAATGGCCATGGCGTTGGAACTGCGGTAACAACAACCTGGCTTTTAAGTTGGGCACGCAGTTGAACCAACGGTGACGCAAGAGGTCGCGCGCAAAAAATGGTCCGAAACCCTGTGTTTTTGCAAATCCATGTCAAAAATGGTCACCATGTTTGACAGTGATTTACAGATGATTCTTGATCAGACCACAAAAAGATGTGATTTCGCCTTGGCGAAAACCCTTTTTTTGCATGCAACCCAAAGGTCCTGGATCTTGAAATTTGCACGACTACGTGCGCGGAAAGAGAGCCGCCGGGAAGTTTTAGATCATTTTTTGGTTGAAGGGATTGCGGGGTGCCATTATTGACACAATAAGAAAGGAAACAGTGGTCAATGAAGACCTCTTGGGTGGAAACCAGATGATAATAACAACAAAAGTTGCGCAACATGTTGCGCAACAAACTAAAATCCTAAGATTTCAGCACTAGTCCAAACCTTGACTTCATTGTTGTAGTCTGGAAATCTTAGGATTTTAGGATTTTAAGGTAGTTTGTTGCGCAAAATGTTGCACAGATCTGGGTGGTGGATACAGAGAAGAGCATTTGCTTTGGCAAAGATCGGCAATGGGTAGACATCGAGGCCGACGAAGCTACCTTTGATCGCCAGGTGGTCGGTCAGCAAGTCACCAAGCCCAATGGGAACAATGGTGCGGCATTGTGCAGCGAGGAAAGCCATCCACGTTGGTCTTGCGCCGACTGAAGCCTCCACCTGCAAAGCTGAGGGCACCAGGCCCTGGCGCCGTGCAGAAAGTCGAGTGGGAGCCCCTGGCCAAGAAGTGGCTACAAAATCGACAGGTGATTTTGCACAGACTCGGCTAAGAGCTACAAAACTGCCGTGCCGGATGTGCTTCACGACCGTGTCGTCCACAAAAAACAGCGTGTCAAGGCTGGAAATACATTCTGCTGGCTGGCACCCAAATATGTAGAGCTCAAATCTCACAAACTGCCAGGACCGAAAAAGATTCTCAAGGTCAAAACTGGCACACAGATCACTGACCGATGTTGGCGGTTTCTTAAGGAACGGCTGCATGTAAACCAGAACAGCCGTGTGGGTAGCCGTACGCTGACAATGCAGCTGCGGGGTGCACAGTATGAGTACTGGCATAGAAACCAGGACCTTTGGATCAGCCCCGGGAAGCTGATCCAATGGTTCCTAAAGTAAACCACTTTGCATCTGCAAGGCGAAAAAAATGGTCCGCAACTTTCCTTGCACATCTCCACATTTCATATCAAACACATCTGCTCAAACAAATCATCTGACCAAACACATTTCAAATGGTCCACATCTGGTCAAACACATAAAAGGTAGGTCCCGGGGGTATATATATATATATGTGTGTTTGCTTTGAGCTTCCTTCCTTTCGCTATTTTTTGCATCCATTCCGTCCAAAAACACATGGGTTCTTTGTGTCCATGCTTTTCGGCTCAGCTGCCCTTCTCTGGGCGGTTCAAGTGTTTCATGTTTTGTGAAAGCCAACGCCACGATGGCGAACTGCTTACGAAAATTATGCATCTCGCCTTGTTTTATAGAGATGGTCATGTGATTTCAACACCACAGGTGACATGTTGCTGCCAGTGATGTCCGGTCCCAGTGTGCATATTCAGAACATATTGATGTTGCACTCGATGTTGCACCGTTCTTTTTGGGAACAAAGCATGACACTGTGCCGTTCATTTGGGGTTCCAGCATGTTCCGCCATCAACTCGGTTTGTCACTACTTTTGCGACGGACCTTGGCGTGCAACGGAGGTAGCTTTATCCTTCCATTCCTCGCCGCCAGTGCGACGGTCCATGAAAAAACAGATCGAGAGATCGGCCAACATGATCACCTCTACATGGAGGCGATCAACAAGATCCGGGCTTCCACGGATTCATAGCTCTTTTGGACGGACTTCTTTGGGCAGCTTTCCCCCAAAAAAGTCTTCCCGAACTACTGGGGCGACGAGTTTGGAATTTCGTCAAGCGATGTGTGGATGCTTTCGGTCAGGTGGACAGCGCAGGGAGCACCCAGAAGAGTCCCTCCTCGGACAAGAACATCAAGGACCGGACGCGTTGACAGTGCGGACTTGGTTTGTTCTTGGACTCGGAGATTGCCATGTTTTTGTTCCGCAGGAGAGGGGAGCAGAACATTCCAGACTTGCATCGGAGACATGAAGGAATTGAGAGAAACGAGTCAAAGGAACAAGTGCATCAACCCAAATGGTATAGGCAACCCTCCAAATGCTTCCAAATGCGAGAAGTGGTTGTGTTGTTTGCCTTTTTCATGTTTTGCCGAGTCACACTCAGCTGAGGGAGCCTCATTGGCAGAATCTTGGCTGCACTTCAGGCCTTCAGGGTGCTAGGACCACTTGGATGCAAGCAGATGTGTTTTGATTCCAGGTCGTTGGTTGCCAGGTGCTGTTCATTTGGGGTAAGTGGGAATGCTGCTGCGATCGCTGGTCCTTGTACAGCCGTGACTAGGAGTGACATTTGAGCTCAAAAGTGTTGACCAAGGAGATGGAGACGCGGCAGACCTTGACAAGGTGCCTCGGCCTTTCATTTAACACCAGCTCATTAGGATCACTAGGCCAGAAAGAACGACAATGGATTGTAACGGGTTGTTGAATGCATCAAGATGTGAGGTTGAAATATTTGCCACAGTATCCTACTGGCCCTGCTACTTGCGATGGGAGTCAGTGGCTTGGCGGCAACATTGATTGAACAAACGGTGTTTCACCATGTTTCACCAAATGGCAGAGATCTTAGAGAAGTGTCACGCGAGATCTTGCGGCAGTTTCATACTTGAGAGTGCTGCGTCATGCTTGTGTTGCAGGTTAGCGTGCCCTGGTCAGCACAACAGTTTCAGAGTCAATGTGCCAAAGCGTGAACCACAATCAACGAGAACGATCGCTCGTCGAGCCCAGTGGCTTGCGGCGGCCTAGGTGTCCAGCTGATGGCAGCCACTAAGCTGCAGTTATTTTCCATTATTTTCCAAGCCATGAGTGTACCCATCACCTTCATGGCCCGATGGATGTTGAAGTCATTCACCAGACTAAACTATCAGCTGCTGAGCCACATCACGCGACTAATGTTCTGAGATACAGAGACGGACGCAGCGTTTCTGATCGCAAGACTCCCCGCCTTCAGGTGTCGACCCATGTTCCACGCTGAAAAATTGCAGCACCGGCGGTTTCCATTTGTTCTGGCAGCTTGAAGGCTGGAGTTGGCTTCTAACGTCTCATGTTTTCACATCCAAAAGTGCCCCCATGTGCCCCCGGTTCTTCCCATGTCATGTCGTCTACCGACAGATCTGCTTGCCAAACAAAGAGACACTGAAGTGCGAAAGTGGCGTGCCTCGTCCGCAGAATGGGCTGTGGAGCGATCGAAAGTAGGGCCACTTCCGATTGGTGGCTGGTTGCGGTGCGGTGTTGCATACGTATCACAAGATTCACAGGAGAATGCCCGAGCTAAGGACGACTGTTTGTTGCGCTGCACAGGCAAGCTGGCCGAGGACAAAGAATTTGCGAAGCCCTTGGTAGTTGTAAGAGGTTTGATTGCTGTGCCTTGCAGGAAAGTGATGGTAGCTTGAAGAAGTGCAAGGAGTTGACGGAGGACAAGTGCAACGGATATTATGACCCTCGGCTATAGCGGCTAGGAACCTTTCTGTGATGTTGCATGTGCTAATCAAATGTTTTCAAACAGTGTGGCATCATCCGGGTAGCTGTAGGCTGCTGATCCTGACTACCTCAAGAATGGCATAGGTGCGTGAGCACATCCGAGTTGTGCATCATCCCAACGCCTGCCGCGCGTCACGCATTCGCGCCCTGCAGGCTACGAATGCGTTTTGAGGGAAGATCGCACTTGTGGAGTGGAAACAACTTGTGGGGTGCAGAATCCGCCCGAAAGTTTGGGGGAGCAGCAATGCTTTGCCACGCTCTCAGTCAAATTGAGAACAACGGCAATGTGAGCTTGCAAGTCTTCGTGTTGGGATGTTTGAGCTTTGCAAGTAACAAGAAGTTACTAGGAACAAAGGGCAACGCTACTAGGAGCAAGAAGCTACTAGTACTCGTAGCTGGCATTACTACTAGTAACAAGAAGCTACTAAGTAGCTAGAAGCCACTAGGTGGAGGCCATTGCTATTGATAGGTTGGGGGCCATCGCTACTAGTAACCAGAAGCTCCTTAAGCTCCAGTGGGCTCAACCTCAAATGGAGAATTTCACGGAACTGTCGTTTTTTGCGTGGCCTAGGCCCCAGAAGTCTACAGAGGAGCTTCCAATGGCACTTGCCAGACCAAGCGAATCCGCCCAGGAAAAGACTGCCAGACCAAGTGTTCAGCAGGCGTGGGCGGTGTGGGGTGTGTGTGCTGGGCTCAACGAAGCCGTCCGGTGAAGGTTTTACTCCTTCGACGGAGACCTTGAAATGCCAAGATGGTGGTGTCTTCGAGCCGAAGCTCGGTTACAGATCTCAGCGATTCGGTTCATCCCAGTGTCTCACAAGAACATGAACAAGAGAGGTGACTGATGTCCAGGTCAGAAGATCTACTGTATATATACATAGAATAAGGTTGGCGATCGCATGGTACCATCAAGCACTTGCAGGGCGTCGTGCCGTTGTGGGAGCTATTTAGACTCCAACTCCTTGCAGAGGGGCATGAGTGAGGATAAGCTCCTAGTAGCGTCGTTTGCTCCTAGTAGTAAGGCCAGGAGCTCTTAGTAGCGTCCTTTGCTCCTAGTAGCGATGCCAGGAGCCCCTAGTAGCGTCCTTGTTACTAGTAGTGGGGATAAGAGTCTTGGAGCTAAGGACCACCTTCTCCTGCATCGCGAACCCTTGCAGAGTGAAGCAGGTGGAGAACGCCTTGAACAGCGGCTGCAAGGACTTCATCCGACGTGATGTTTCACCTGATGTTGTGAGGAACAGATCCAAACGTTACTTTAAACTCCTTCCCTGGAACCAACATGGGGGTAAAAAAACACCCTGCTTGTGGAGGGAAAATGTTTTTCCAGGGGCCATTGTCCACTTCCATTTTCGTTTGGATGGAGGGTACGGCAATTTATAGCAGTCTTTGTACCATATCACTGCCATGTATACACCTCCCTGCACTTATGTGCTCTTGACCCTGAATGCAGGAGGGCCCCGAGGAGGGAGAGGCTGTGATTGAGTCTGGCTTGGTTTGCACTACCCAGTGCAAGGCGCTGCACATGCACATGTTGTTGACCAATCTCTTTTGGTTTAAATGTCAATTTGGAAATGCTGCTTATTTTACCTCTCAACATGTCACAGGAAGGCTTCTACCAGTCAGATGATGTCCTGCGCTGCCATGCAGAGACGTCCTGAGCTGAGAAGAAAAGACTTCACAAATGCTGGGCCGAGACAGGACAAATGCCGGACATCATGGTGATTGTTCCTCCCTCTTCTAGAGTAGCGCGGTGAAGGAGAGAGGAGAAGATGTCTTCGTGACGCATGCATGTTTGGTTGGACTACACCTATTTCGAAGTTAGCGGTTGCCTTGTGGGGGGGAGGGCATCGATTCTTTGAGTGAAAATCTTGAGGCTTTCGCCTGCAACATTTACCTGCGAAGCCACATGCGCCGTGCCAAGCGTGTCCAATGCAGCTGCAGGTGGTATTTGCAAGGAGGCTGGGACGGACCTCCACTGCATCCCGCCTAGACTCGAGCTGTTTTGGTCGTCTTGTGTTGAGTGTTTTCGGCTGCAGTAGCCACGGCAGTCTTGTGAGGGCAAGGACCAAATCATGCCATTTACGAGCTGTACCACCCAATGTGCAACTGGCTACACTCCTTCGGTGGAGAAACTGCACCTTGGCGTGGAAATGGAGGCACGCTCACTCTTGTGTTCAAGGTGTACAGGTGTCGAAGACACCAAGCGATGGTCTCCAACCTAGCGATGGCCTCCAACCTACTAGCTGGACTCCATAGTAATAGCGATGGCCTCCACTTGTATCCTGAGGAGCTGCCGCAATGGGGCTTTCACCCCAGGATCAATCCAGTGCAATCCTGATCCATGCGATGCGCCAACAGGAGTTCCTGGTTCGCAGCGCCTTTCAGTCCTTCCGTCGTGAAGTCTCATTTTCGCCCGTTCCAGTCCACCGTTTGACCGGCCAAGGTGGAGTTTGGACGCACTAAGGGACCATGCCAGGAGGGCTGGACTCTAACTTCAGGGCACCTTGGCAAGATGTGTGGTGTGTGTATGTGTGCGACTGATCTTCAGTTTTTTGTCATACTTTGTTCAGCTAGTTTTAAGACTTTTTTGCGGAGCTTCAGCAAAGGTCTGCGTGCACCACTCAATGCAGGGTCTCTTGTCTGGATTTATACCATATACTCTCACAAATGCTCCGTCATGGCATGGGCCCGCGTTAGTCGTATTTCAATCGATTTTCAAGCGCACCTAGGGTTTGTGGAAGTTTTGAGGCCGGGTATACACCGTCTATCGCTTCATTGGCCTGTAATGCTGGCACCTTGGCTCCAGCACCTTGGTCCTTCATGGTCCTTCTCGGACAGTGAACTCTGACTTTCTGAATCCAAAGCTCTCGTTTCCACTAGAGTCACTGGAAGGTCTAGAAGGTGCTAACTCTACCCTTTTGAATGTGTTTTGCTTCACACTTGCCTTTGCTTCCTAGTTGTTTTTTTGCGACTGGCGTTTCTCTTCCGCAAGTCAGGCGACTTTCCAGTGCGTACCCAACCCATGTCCGATACCAACGGTCAAGAACCGTCTTGGGAACGGCTGCCGTGGGGTTGCTGGAAGCAGCGTCGAGTCGGGAAAGTCTTGCAAAGCCAGCTGCAAAAGTGGCTACACGCCATCAGTGAAGCAATTGGATTGCTATGCTGAGACCTTGACACCAGAGACCTTTGTATGCGAACCCAATCCATGTTCCATCCCAGTCGACTCGAACCAAGAGGGGAGTGGCTGCTTGGGTGTGCCTGGCCAAAAGGATGGGACGGTGATTGAACATGGTGAGACGTGCCAAAGTGAATGCAAAGAAGGCTATCACCCATCAGTGGAGAGCATGAGTTGCAGCCTTGGCACCCTTTCACCTGCCAAGTGGAGCTGCATTGAGGATGCATATCCAGCTGTTGAAGGCGTTGCCAATGCTCCCAAAGTCACATGCAAGGAAGGGAACTCCATCAATTCTCAAAAGTCCTGTACCACAAAATGTGCCTCGGCTGAACAATGCTGAACAAGGTCATCGGTTAATCGCTCAAAAAGTGGGTGGCATTTGGTCATGAAGAGTCTTCAGAAAAAGTGTCAAAGAGATTCCAATGTGGGTTTGCAGCACTGGTGACCAAAAGAACAGCAGAGAGAGAGAGAGAGGGAAATCCAACAGGCAATGTTTAACAGGCGCCCTTCCTGATAAGCGCTCACTGTCTGCCAGGCCGTGATGGCTACAAACCCAACTATGCCTCATTGACCTGCCGCTTGGGTAAGTTCTTTCCACACACCTACATTTGTGAGCCGGAGGGCTGCCCCTTGCCGGTGGTCAAAAACCGTTTGACCAGTGGATGCAGTGGACTTCCCCATCCCGCCGTGGTCACCTCCGGGCAGAGTTGTTCCGCGCAATGTGACAATGGCTACACACCCTCTGTGGCTAGCCTGAAGTGCTTTGCTGGCAAGCTCACTCCAGACACTTGGACTCCGATGTGAGGGAAAAAAGTGCATCCGTAGTGGCATCCGTATGAGTCAGTGAGGTGTTTCATTACAAGAACAATACTGTATGTTTCTGGTGCTTTTGCTTGGGAATCTTGCCTGGCTTTGGATGGGTGTAACTGATCCGAACAAGAGGGTAAAAGGATGATAGAGAGAGAAGGATTGAGTGAGATAGTGCAAAGGGGAGTGATATCAGTGACATCCTGAAGCTAGCTAGATACAAGAGCAGCTGACTGCTGGGCTGAGGCGACCTTTGTTTGCAACGAGGATCCTTGTGATGCACCTGGTGGCATCCAGAACGGTGCAACTGAGAGCTGTAAAGAGGGCAAAGAGATTGCGTCTGGCGACAAATGCACAAGTCAATGTGCTGCAGGCTATGTGCCCTCCACTGCGCAACTTTCCTGTAGCCTTGGGAAGCTTACACCCAGTTTTTACTCCTGCAATCCTGAACCATGCACCTTGCCACAGTTCGCGAATAGGAAAGGCAATGGTTGCAAGAGCAAGAGTGGTCAGACGGTGGCATCGGGAGAAACCTGCACTGCAGAATGTGCTGCTGGCTACACACCTAACGAGCTAAGCCTGAAATGCTATGCCGGAGTGCTGACACCCGCAACCTTCAGCTGCTTTCCAGACCCATGCCCTTTGCCATCAATCAGCAAGGCTCAGGGCAATGGATGCTCAAACCTCGGCGGGAGCATGATCGACTCGGGTCTCAAGTGCGAGGCAAAGATTACGAAAAAGAACAAAATATGCTGGCCTTCAACCTACTAGTGATGGCCTCCAACCTGATAGCAATGGCCTCCAACCTATTAGCGATGGCCTCCAACCTAATAGCAATGCCTACTAGCGATGGCCTCCAACCTGATAGCAATGGCCTCCAACCTATTAGCGATGACCTCCAACCTAATAGCAATGCCTACTAGCGATGGCCTCCAACCTGATTTCAATGGCCTCCCACCTATTAGCGATGGCCTCCAACCTCATTGCTCAGCTACTAGCGATGGCCTCCAACCTAATAGATCTTAGAATGCGTTGGTCTTATGTTCAAGATTCAGCAGTCAATTTATGTCACTGCTACCGCAATCATGTTCAACAATTTTGCTGAGTAAGTGCACCCATTACAGCGTATTACAGATAACTACCGGCAGCTGCAGTGCAGGCCGCATGCCAAACTGGCTATACTCCATCGGTGAAAGTTCTGGCCTGCCAAGCGAGCATTTTGACTCCAGATACCTTCACCTGCAATCCGAACGGCTGCACTCTGCCCAAAGTACAAAACCAGGCCACAGAAGACCTCGAGTTTGGGCGAGATCTCAATGTCTCATCACTTGGGCGAAACGATGTCGCATCACGCCACACGTGACTCGCACCTCGCGTAACTCGCCAGGCGGGAAATGGCTGTCAGGGCATCAAAGGCAGCTCCATCGGCTCGGGGAAAACCTGCAAGACGCAGTGTGCCGCAGGCGCACGCTTCGACAGACGGGGGTGTCCCGCTTTCGCGGTTTGCAGAGGACAGACAAGGGACACCCCGGTTTCGACCTGGCATTACCTGGGTCTTTTTTCCGCGCCCCCAAAGCATATGCCATAGATTCAAAGCTGGCTCTGGAAAAAGATGGATCATAGTGACATCACAGACTTTGAGCAGATCCAGGCGATGTGTGACTTGTCGTGCCAGGCTTTACACCTGACGTGGAATCATTGAGCTGCTTTGCAGAGGAGTTGACCCCAAGCACCTTCACATGTGACCTGGCTTAGGTGGTCCATTTGATTTTATCCGCCGAAACTCGAATCGAGCAATCTTGGGGGCCTGAGCATCACATGTGCATCCTTCTGGCCTTCAGCAGATCGTTGATTCTGAGAAGCTCGCCATCCATCGGCTTGGAGCAGCTGAAGCTATTTTCAGTGCTGCTCCAGGGTGTTGAGACATGTCACCTGCGGTTTTGTTGTGAGAATTGCTCATAGGCCCCTTGCATGTGCTTGCATGAAGATCTCGTGCTTGAAAGATCAAGCTGACTGAGAGGAATGATAAGACTGTAAAAGGATGATAAGACTGCATCATTCCTTCTTAGGCAATCCAACCCCTTGCACCCTGCCAGCTGTCGCGAACGCGTGACTGAGCAGCAGCTAGTGGCAGCAAACATGCCCTTGAGGATGGTCAACGCATGTAAACGCAGACGAAGCCACTGTAGGTCTATTTAGGTCTGCTAGGCGCCAAGCATCATTTAGGAGAGGTTCGGATAGTCGCAACTGTCCTTTCACCCGCTTTTACCTTTAGCAATGCCTAGGCAGGGCAATGGTTGCAAAGGCAAAGTGGGTACCGTGATCGCTTCGGGCGCCACCTGCAAGACTGCCTGCATGCCTGGCTATGAAGCCTCTGAAGCAGCACGGCAAAATAGTGAGTTATGATAAGCTATTATCGCTATTATGATACATTGCATCTTGGACCGGGGCAGAACAATGAAAAGAACGAATTGCCCTTTCAAGCGTTGTGGGCCTGGAGCAAACTTGGACTGACAGAGGTATGCCATTGACTCACCGAGGACAAGCTGGAATGCTCCGCCGGGAGTTTGTCACCAGCCACCTTCGCGTGTGCAGAGTTGAAGTGTCGGGCACCGACAGGCACCGGGTCAAGCGGATGGAACGAGCGGGTCGGTCTAAATTGGGGGGAGGTCGGCTGTAAGAGTGACAACGCTCTTTGTAAGGCCTTGGCTCTGGAGTTCAACGTCCCTGCCATACTTGTGGGAACAAGAAAGGTGTCTTTATCATGACCATTTTCTTTGAGCCATTGCCAATGATGTTGTCATCACTTCCTGCCTGCTGCAGGCATTCCACATGCACCACATGTGGGCTGTGCAGAGGGCAGAACGATCAAAGGTGGCAAGACTTGCACGCCACGCTGCAATGCACCTGCTGCAGCATTGGGCGCTTGTGATCAATGCACGTTTAAAGAGGAAACGGAGGAACCAAGCTGCAAACCACTACAAATAGGTACGCTTGCTCCTGTATATATATATATATACAGCGTTGGATGAGGATAATCTCGTTGGACCACCCAGTCATAAACAACTTTTGAAAATAATGCACGCATTGGTTCGTAGTATTTGGAAACCGAATCTCAGCCAAGTCTGGCTACTCACCATCGGCAGCTTCGCTGGTTGCTCGGCATGAAGAGGTCAAGATTGACTCAGATTCAGTCAATTGAAGAGAGAGGAGTTCGAGTTCACGACATGTCTTCCAACCTTTGGCCTTTGGCTTTTTCCTTGGAGGCTTGCAAGCAAGGAGTTTTTGAGCCCACCTCCTATGGCTGTCTTCCAGGCTCTTGCTTCTTGTCAGCCAACTTGTCAGCAGCTTCCACACATTCACCATGATGGTATTCATGGGTCATTTCCTGATCATGTGTACAGCGTCCATCTTGACAGCTGCCTTTGGCCTTGCATGAGCAGGTTCTTTTTATTACACCGGTTGAGCTGAGGCAGTATACCTCAAATTTCGAATGCTGCGAGCCCCAAGTGCGAGCAGGTGCAATTCAGAGCTCTCTTGCTTTGTGTCTGAGATTTTTAGACCTGAGTCCGGGATGGGTGAAGTCAAAACTTGATGTCTCAAAACATCTTGAAACACCTCTGGAGCAATCAGGGAATGTCTTCTAATCAAGATTCTAATCCAACATTTCTAGGAGACTCCTTGTCCTATTGTAGGCTGGGTAGAGCAATGCGCATTTGGAAAGAGGAGAGTCAAGAGGCCCTTGGGAAACCAAATGCGGCCCATGCGGCTGTTGTCAGGGCGACACAATTAAGCACGGCCAAAAGTGCACGCCAAAATGTCCTTAGCTTAGTTATGACTGCAGAAGATGTTTGTGGCATTGTGGGATATTGCTTTTGCAAGGTCTGAGCAGTTTCGCACACGACTTTTCAAGCGAAACAGCTCGCAAGACCTGGAATGCTTTTGCCAAAAGCAGCTTGTTTAGCAACCAAGGCAAGCCAAACTATATTCCGTCAAATTCGGGCTTGACATGCACGGCTGGCAATTTGGAACCTACAACCTTTACATGCAAGGCGGTTAACGGACTGCTTTGCCATGTCGTCCGACGGTCGAGAGATACATCTCGGGAGGAACCCCAACCCATTGCCACTACAACCAAGAGTGCATTCTGTTTGGACTGTTTGTTGAAGCAGCTAGCTACAAACATGAAGCATATTTTGTTGGTCCTACGGAAGCACGTTGCAGGCTCCATGCGCATCTCCTAATGCGCTTTTGGCTGCATATTGGATATCGTTGAACCTTGCCACATCAATGCCATCTTTGCCGTTTGGACCTTTCTACTGCTTGCAGTGACCAACCATGCCAGGCTGTACATTCGAAGCCTTTACTTGGCTAAGGTAGCAAATGCAGCCCAGCCCTGCAAAGAGGGCAACCTCATTGAGCATGGCAAATCATGCAGTTCACAGTGTGACGTGCTGCCCTTAGGTGTTCGTTCCGGGCTGTTCTTGGTAATAGGAACGTCTCAAGTGTTTCACAGCACGAAGTTTCGAATGGTTTGGGTCCGGAGAGAGGGAGAGGGGATAAGGGGGGAGTGAAGAACGGGCAGATAGACCCCACATAAGCTAGGCTGCTTTGGAGTGTAAAATGTTTCGCCAGCCTGGGCTACGCTTGCCCCAAGGTAGGGTTTTCAGCCACTAGCGGCTCCCTGGAGTGCAATGACGGCCAGCTGTGTCTTGGCGCATTGAGGGAGAAGTCTGCCACAAAAGTCATTTTGGTCACAAAAAAGCTGGAGGAATGAGGAAATGCTGTGATCTTTGACCATCTTTGAGCTTCAGGGGCGGCGCGATCACCTGCCAGTCGCTTGGCTGAGAACCACCGAACATGAGGCCAATGCCACCTCGCTACTTGCAAGATGCCTGCCAGATTCTGACTATGACGTGAGAGATTTGAGAAGTGAGGATTGACATGCCGGAATCGGGTTCCAACTTTTACAACTGCTGGTCTGGTGATCCACATTTCACCTGTCGCCTCTTGGCAGCGACTGGACGACTCAAGCGACTGGTCGCGAGATCGGTCGACGCTTCAGGAGGCGGCCGGAGAAGCGACCCCTTGGTGCCGGGGACGCATTGGGTGCTGAAGCAGTGACGTGGCCGCCCTTGGGGTTTTTGATTTTACCGCAAGATGAGGAGAGATCGGATTTTTTTTATCAACTATGAATACATTCATGATAATCATCGGCTTCTCCCATGTTGGAGATGTTCTTTATTTGTCTTAGACCTTTGTTTGCTTGGGAATTGCCCAGCCTCCGAGCCACCCAGGGCATGTCCCAACAGCCCGAACTTCATGTGGGTCCAGGGCGTTTATGGTCCTGTCAGCCCCTCCGGGGCGATGGCCACGGCGTTTGGTGGGATGTTCTTGGGCAAGAACATCCTGACGATCCGAAGCTTGACTATGACTATGTCAGGTGTTTTGATGTGTGGAAGATTTTTGGATCACCATGCCAATCCGTCGTGATGGACACCTGAGACATCGCCAGGAGCGGCAGCCAGGCCAAATTGGATTGTAAAGTGGAATGACAAGAACCTCGACAAAGCCTGGAAGGCAGAGCTCCTTTCGTGTGAAAACGCTACCAGCAAACGCAACTGGGTGCGTTCGTTCTTTTCCGGCTGCTCTCTCCACCCGGAAGACGTATTACTACTAGCTTCTTGTTACTACTAGTAAGGCCAGGAGCCCCTAGTAGCTTCTTGTTACTACTAGTAAGGCACTTGTTACTAATCCCGAGTACCTATTAATAAACACTCCCCAATTAAAAAAAAACCACGTCCGAACCCCTAAATTCGGTTTATATTTGGTTTTAAATTGCCGCCCTTTCAAACCGCTACTAAACTACCAACATGGTCGATTTTGGGGGTAGTTTTTTTTTATTAGGTTCCCCAAAACTCCACCATGACACGCCGCGCTTACACCTTCCCTCAATGGCACGGACTCACGCAAACGCACTTGCCACCGAGGTCATGCAACACCGCATGGCACAGCGACATCACCTTTCGAAAGCTTTAGCTGTTAGTCTACTGAAGAATCACTATTCTAATGATGGTTTTTGTAGGGGAAAAGGAAGACCCTTCGATCTGGCGGTTTTTTGCATTTTTGATATGAGTTTAATAAAGGATTTTATATAAAATGTTCCTGGATTACTTTTTGGTTTTGAAACTCTTTCCAGGTGAGCCTATTTTGAACCCCCCGATTTCAGGGACCCCCTATTTAAAAAAATGCGACCGAGGTTTTTTTAATAGGGGGGGGGGGGGCGTGTTTATTATTAGGGGGACGGGATTAGTAGCGTGGCACTTGTGACTTCCGGGTGTTCGCCTCGTCATCGGCAAACGTTCAACGTCACGGGACCGCAGTTGAAGTCTGGCCGACGGCGGCGAAGGCGACGCGGCAAGGCCCGGACGACGAACGACGCGGAACGACGGTCATCGGTCATCGGCGGGGGTCGACGGTCCCGGGGGTCGACCGCGTTTGGGCATCGGCATCTCATGGCACGGGGATCCACATCAATCCATGGTGATCTCATGCGCTTTACTGTATGCCGCAGCCCGAATCGAACTGTTTGATTTGCTTTCTCTTCGAGGCCAAGTATGTCTATGACCTATATGGCACTGAGCTCTCTGTCTATATGAACGGGAACAAAATTGAGGCTGGACTTGGCCGCTTGGCAATGCTTGGCATGTAAGCAGCTGTACGGTGCGGTTTTGCGGTTTTTGTGCAGTTCAATTCTTACAAGTTACTCTATATCACTCAACGTGACTACGTTGTTGGTGTTGTTCTTCAAGGATTGTCCACGATCATGTTGGCATCTCGTCCTGTTTCGTCCAGGTTACGGGGTCACATACAAAGCACACCGTCACCGATGGAACCGCCAGAATTGGAAGGTGGGGAGGGTAGAGAAGTGCTGGCTGAACAAGCATGATCATGTCATATCATTTTCCAGAGTGGCACTGCTTTTGCTTGCTTCAGATCAGTGGGCTCTACTACACAGACACCCTGATGCAAATTTGATTTTTTTTGCTTTTGCCACGCATTTCTTGTTTTCATGGGTCCTTGTCCCGGCTTCAGCAAAGAATCGAGAAAAATACCGGACTGTCAGAATTAAACTACGTATATAAAGCTAAAACGATTACAGGATGTATAGGTTAAATCCAGCTTTGAATGCCTTTGCACCACAGGCAACGGCAGGCACGAACAAATTGCGCTTTCTCACCCTCACATTTTCCAATTCCGCAGTGTGCCCGCCAATAAGGATTATTACCAGTCCAACCAGTTGTGGCCTGCTCCTTGGGGCGTTGGGGCGTGGGCGGCTTTGACCCGCCATGTCATTCAATGGGTTTTTTTACCCAGCTCGTATGTTGAATCCGAAGTAAGTGCCAGTTGAACTCTCTCTCGGTCTATCACTCAAGCTGTCTCTGAGGACGAAATTGTCTCTCAGCTTGCAATTTAGTCTCAGCTTTCAGCTTGAAAGCTTCATCTCAGCTTTCTATACATGATCTTTCCTCCGTATAGTATGCCATGCAGCCATGCCGTTTAGTATGGAACCACGACGGGTCAGGTACGACCAGTCGGACCTGTCAGGTGCAAAGACGGCAGCTACGGTGGTGAATCGATCGACCTGCCGCACCCCCGGCACCTCTACCGGCCCGCGGGCGACGATCGCATGGCACCTCGGATTTGCGGGTCTTCTTCGGAAGGGGAAGCATGCTGGGCAGCTGCCGAGTCGCTGCGTCGCTGCGTCGCTAAAAAAATCATGAAATGGATGAGAGATGATATGAGATGATGATTATGAAGAGAAGCACAACAAGTAAATGATTGCTCGTAGGAAAGTCCTGAGATGCTTACAGTAAATGAGTTTTTATGGGCGTTCTTCTTTATTTGCGGAGTGAAGGATGCTAAAGAGAAGGCATAATATATGGCAATTCTTGATGCAGGGGGGTGTCCTCTTCAGTGCATAGAATTCATGCCAAAATCTCAGGTGAGCACAGCCTATGACTTGTTCCAGCAGACCAGGGCCACAATAGCAACTCGACTGGGGGGCATTTTTTGGAGCCAAAAAATCCGACACTTAAAGGTCATCTAATCAGGTGAGCTGATGGTCTTAGTGTTTTGTTTCTGCTGTATGACATCTCAAGTTGCAGCATACAACAACAACAACAACAACAACAAAACGTATGTGTGCTTTAAATATTGCTAGTGTTCAGATATGTTCACATGGAGCTGAGGAAACCAAGTTGAATACCATGACCACCGCAGCAAGCTTGCTGCCGGGCTGCACCACACGGGCAAGCTCGACTCAATTGGTCCATCGTTGTGCCCCTGAGGTTCGCGGAAGAGGAAGTCATGGAGGCCAACATGTCTTTGGTGAAGAAAGCGCAGTTGCTGGGCGAAGATTATCGCTTACATGCTACAATCGTGCCACTACTCGAGACGACGGATCCCTACGCATCTTCACGTCAAGTTCGCCCGGCTTGAGCCGCTTGCGTGCCTTCAAACTTTGGCTGAGGCCCTGCACCGGAGCGGCCTTGGAGGACCGGCTTTTGGGGACCGGTTCTTGCAGGAATCCATCAACAAATGATTGCAGAAGTTGACATCGTATTTCTAAAAGTACTTTGTAATAATGTTCTGAATATGTTTTCACATGGTTCAGACTCAGACCATGAAAATGACCATGCGCGAATCCATGCGCGTTCTGCCCAAGGCAGCAGAAAAATCCTGCGCGGTGCTGAAGAAAGAGACCACAGAGGCTCGATAACCTCGTTGCGTCGCGCAGGTTCGCTTGAAAAACGTCGAAGCAATTTTATTTGAGTCCGGTGGTATCATGTGGTATCCTGCTGCCATTTAAATTTTGCTGCATCCGTTTGCCTCGTTTTGAGGAAGAGAAGGAGGAAATTGAAGAGGATGAAGAAGCGAAGGACAATCAGGTGCGACGTAAGCAACGCACAACTTGTATGCAAAACCACACGGTGCCCGTTTGATTTGCAGGAAGCGACCTACCAGCCTTTACCTGAGACAGGGTCACTGCGCGAATCTTCAATGTTTCATATTTGGCAGGCCTCATGCTCATACGATTGCAATGAAGAGCGATCCCGGATACTTCTGAGGGCCTGCGTGGCAGATGCTTGCATGACTGCCAGCAACGATTTTGGAGCAGCCGGTCAAGATGTGGAGGAACACGGGGCACTCCAAGCTTGTGGGGGAGGGACAAAGGTTGCCTACCCCGTGCAATCGAAGGATGCAGCTGAAACCGCTCCAATCATGCTTTACCTTTAAATAACTGTTAGCCTCAATGCAGCCTTAAACCAATTGGTGTCAGGAAGAGAGCGAAATGCAGGCCGCCTTGAAGCACAAGAAGGCGACCCTGAAGTGGGCGGGACAAGAAGACGGCACGAATTTAAGCTTCCTTTTGTCATCAGAGTCCAGACTCATCACCAGTCATTTACTAAAAGGTTGTGTCAAGGAGTCAAGCAGAGTGGTCAATCAGCCATTGAGAAACACAGGAGTTTCGAGTGGTGGCAGAAAACGGAGCCTGCTCAGAAGGACCGAGCTTTGTCATTGAACGCATTGTAGAATATTGTAGACCCAAAGATAGCGAAAGACCACTGGCCCTGAGAAGTCTTCGTAGAGTTGCTCTGAAGACCACCTGTGTTCCCTAAGTGCCTTTGGGCCTGGCGATGTGCCAATTCTTAGCACTTTAGAATTTAGAAGTTCAAGACATGTCGAAACATAGCTCAGCTATGTGGCCATCAAGCCATCAGCTTTCCAGGATGGCTGGCCACTGATCCAAACGAGAACATCCTTTCAGATGAAGAGAAGTTGCTTGTCCCAGATAGGCCACGTGTTTGCCGTGACAAGCCGGAACATGTGGACATGCAGCAGTCCGGGGTTAACATGGACAATGTGGACATCATGCCCCTAGTAGCGTCCTTTGCTCCTAGTAGCGATGCCAGGAGGCCTCCTGCATTCCTTTGTCCCTTGTGCGTTTTAGTTGACACCGCACAGCGCAAGCTGAGGACTCGGGCACAGCAGAAGAAGAATAATTGCACCGTTGCCTGCAAACTTTGTCGACCAGAGCGTGTCTTGGTTTAGCTTGTTACTAGTAACAATGCCAGGAGCCCCTAGTAGCGTTCTTGCTCCTAGTAGTAAGGCCAGGAGCCCCGAACGTAGCTTCTTGTTTGTTTGTGAGTTGTCGTGCTTGCATCTTTCTCTTTGAGCTCTTAGATCATGTCCCCCGATGATCTCCACGAGCCGGTCGAGCCAAGGACGACGCTACCTCGCGGGACCGTTGGTGCTTCACAATGAGACGCGAGATGCTTGCATTGATCAGCGCTTGGCCATGCCAAAGAGCCAAGAGGAGTTTGGGGTTTTGGTGTGTGAGAAGCTGAAGACTGCAAAGACATGCAGCCAAGTCCTACTGAGACCACATCAGCCCGCTGCTGACAAACGCTTGGTCACAGAATCAAGTCCTGGGGGGCAGCAACCCCGTGCACCCAAACTCTAGGGCAACAACTTCCTGCACTGCAGACCTCCTCAGGTGCCCCCCTCTCACCTCAAACCAAATCCAGTCGACTAGAAACACCGAAAGGGGCTAAAATCAGCCTTCCCAGGCACACCCCCCCGCTTGAACGCTAAGAGATCCCCTTACTTGCCGAGGGCAATTCTCAGTCTTCTCGCATGTGTGGAACCGGAGGACAAGGAGCGATTGTGGACTCTTCAAAAGCAGCATTGCACTGCGGACAAAGCCTGGGTAGGCTTGCGGGTGCATGGGGGGGCGGGCCCACCGTTGCTCAGGATTCCGCAACCTTTTTGCCCGTATTCCTCCTATGCCATAGCTTTTTGGACATGCTTTGTGATAGACATGTCGTCACACGATTCAAGCAGCAAAGTTGGTTGCAGATGTTTTCGCTACATGTTTCATGTTCAAGTGCCTACACGATATACCTATATAAATATATACAGTAATCCGGTCCCCCTAATAATAAACACGCCCCCCCCCCCTATTAAAAAAACCTCGGTCGCATTTTTTCTAATAGGGGGTCCCTGAAATCGGGGGGTCCAAAATAGGTCACCTGGGAAGAGCTTCAAAACCAAAAAGTAAATCAGTAAAATTTTATATAAATCCTTTATTAAACTCGTATCAAAAATGCAAAAAAGCTCCAGATCGAAGGGTCTTCCTTTTCCCCTATACAAAAACCTTCATTAGAATAGTGATTCTTCAGTAGACTAACAGCTAAAGCTTTCGAAAGGTGATGTCGCTGTGCCATGCGGTGTTGCATGACCTCGGTGGCAAGTGCGTTTGCGTGAGTCCGTGCCATTGGGGGAAGGAAAGCCTGCTGGTGTAAGCGCGGCGTGTCATGGTGGATAGACAGGGCCCCTACTAGGAGGCCCCTAGGAGTAAGGCCCCTACTAGGGGCTCCTGGCCTCGCTACTAGGAGAGCCAGCGGAGAGTCTGCAACGCGACATGGTCGATTTTGAGGGTGTATTGGGACCTATTTTGAGGGAGTTTTGGGGAACCTAATTTAAAAAACGACCACCAAAATCGACCATGTTGGTAGTTTAGTAGCGGCTTGAAAGGGCGGCAATTTAAAACCAAAGATAAACCGAATTTAGGGGTTCGGATGTGGTGTTTTTTTAATTGGGGAGTGTTTATTAATAGGTATTTATATATATCATATGTTTATATAGACCACATTTGGCTCTTGCATCGCAATGCTCCTTGCATGTTGTCAGCCTACATGTGATCCATGCATGCGAGGTGCAAGATACACCGGAGCGCCTTGTTTGCAGAAGAGCCGGCATCTTTATGATCCGCAGTTTTCCCGTGCAAGTGCTTCAAGTGCACCTCTATTTCAGACCCCTTGACTGAGCAGATTCTTGCCGAGATAGGGAAGAAGAGAAGTGAGGCTCCTGAATCTTCAAACCCAGAAGACGCAATGGATTGGGTGTGTTCAAAAGGCCAAGCCATCGCGAGCGACGGGCTGAGGGCGGATGGAAGTGGGATGATGAATCCGCTGTCGCTGGTATCCAGGCTTCTGGCACTGAAGGTGTCGAACTCAAAGTGCTTTTCATCAGTCATCCCGGAGGAGTATTTTTCGGAGATGTCGGCAAGCTACAGGATACTTCTGCTGTTTTAACTTTGCTTGGGCTTACTAGATTTAAATACAAGTAGCCCTCCCAAGGACCTGATGAACCCATGTCACACATATGAGCGTCGTTCAAAAACCCACCTCTTCCTTGTTAGTAATCGAATTTCAAAGGCTGATTTCGAGTGTGCTCTCACTGCAGTCGCGAAAGGTTCGCGAAGGTCCTGCGAAAGGTCTGCGCAAGTCATGTTGGTGACCTGGCCACGCTGCAAGAACAATTGCTCTTCAGACTTCCGATTGCTTTTTCCCGGGTCGGGAAAAAGCAAGTTGGAAATCTGAACCATTTTGCTTTTTCCCGGGCCGGGAAAAAGCAAATTGGAAGTCTGAGCAAACTGGCCTGACTGAGCCGTCTCTTGTTCATGGAGGGTTGCGCCCAACCAAAAACACACCAAAATGAAAATGGCTTGGTTGGAAGTCTTGACCATTTTGCTTTTTCCCAGCCCGGGAAAAAGCAAATTGAAAGGCTAGACATGTCTAGACCATTTTGCTTTTTCCCGGGCCGGGAAAAAGCAAATTGGAAGCCTTTGAAAGTTTAAGTCAAATTGGGAACAACCAGCTTGTATCAGGTTTACCAACTAAAATCAAGGAGCTGTGGCCAGAAGCAGAAGGTTGTGGGCTCGAATCTCTCCAGTTGCAAATTATTTCTCCGGAGTGAGCCACTGGGAATCTTTTTTCCCAGCTAGCAACTTGGAAGTCGAGCCTTTTGCTTTTGGCTGGCCCGGGAAAAAGCAAATGGAAGTCTGAACCATTTTGCTTTTTCCCGGGTTGGGGAAAAAGCAAATTCGAAGTCTGAACCATTTTGCTTTTTCCCGGGTTGGAGAAAAAGCAAATTCGAAGTCTGAACCATTGGAAGTCTGAGCAAACTGGCCTGACTGAGCCGTCTCTTGTTCATGGAGGGTTGCGCCCAACCAAAAACACACCAAAATGAAAATGGCTTGGTTGGAAGTCTTGACCATTTTGCTTTTTCCCAGCCCGGGAAAAAGCAAATTGAAAGGCTAGACATGTCTAGACCATTTTGCTTTTTCCCGGGCCGGGAAAAAGCAAATTGGAAGCCTTTGAAAGTTTAAGTCAAATTGGGAACAACCAGCTTGTATCAGGTTTACCAACTAAAATCAAGGAGCTGTGGCCAGAAGCAGAAGGTTGTGGGCTCGAATCTCCCCAGTTGCAAATTGCAGAAGGTTGTGGGCTCGAATCTCCCCAGTTGCAAATTATTTCTCCGGAGTGAGCCACTGGGAATCTTTTTCCCAGCTAGCAACTTGGAAGTCGAGCCTTTTGTTGCTTTTGGCTGGCCCGGGAAAAAGCAAATGGAAGTCTGAACCATTTTGCTTTTTCCCGGCCCGGGAAAAAGCAAATTCAAAGTCTGAACAATTTTTCTTCTTCCCGGCCCGGGAAAAAGCAAATTGGAAGTCTGAACAAGTTTGCTTTTTCCCCGCCCGGGAAAAAGCAAATTGGAAGTCTGAACCAATTTGCTTTTTCCCGAGTCTTGACCATTTTGCTTTTTCCCGCCCCGGGAAAAAGCAAATTTGAAGTCTGGACAATTTTGCTTTTTGCCGGCCCGGGAAAAAGCAAATTGAAAGTCTGAGCCTTTTTGCTTTTGCCAGGCCCCGGAAAAAGCAAATTGGAAGTCTGAACCATTGTGCTTTTTCCCGGCCCGGGAAAAAGCAAATTGGAAGTCTGAGCCGTTTGCTTTTTCCGGGCCCGGGAAAAAGCAAATTGTATGAACCATTTTGCTTTTTCCCGGCCCGGGAAAAAGCAAATTGAAAGTCTGAACCATTTTGCTTTTTCCAGGCCCGCGAAAAAGCAAATTGGAAGTCTGAGCCGTTTGCTTTTTCCAGGCCCGAGAAAAAGCAAATTGGAAGATTGGAAGTCTGAGCCTTTTGCTTTTTCCAGGCCCGGGAAAAAGCAAATTGGAAATCTGAACCATTTTGCTTTTTCCCTGCCTGGGAAAAAGCAAATTGGAAGTCTGAGCCGTTTGCTTTTTCCAGGCCCGGAAAAAGCAAATTGGTGTCTGAACCGTTTTGCTTTTTCCCGGCCCGGGAAAAAGCAAATGGAAGTCTGAGCCTTTTGCTTTTTCCCGGCCCGGTAAAAAGCAAATTGGAAGTCTGAACCATTTTGCTTTTTCCCGGCCCGGGAAAATGCAAATTGGAACTCTGAGCCTTTTGCTTTTTCCCGGCCCGGTAAAAAGCAAATTGGAAGTCTGAACCATTTTGCTTTTTCCCGGCCCGGAAAAAAGCAAATTGGAAGTCTGAACCATTTTGCTTTTTCCCGGCCCGGGAAAAAGCAAATTGGAAGTCTGAGCCTTTTGCTTTTTCCCGGCCCGGGAAAAAGCAAATTGGAAGTCTGGACCATTTTGCTTTTTGCCGGCCCGGGAAAAAGCAAGTTGGAAGTCTGAACCATTTTGCTTTTTCCCGGCCTGGGAAAAAGCAAATTGGAAGTCTGAGCCTTTTGCTTTTTCCCGGGCCCAGGAAAAAGCAAATTGGAAGTCTGATACATTTCCAATTGCCTTTTCCCGACCCTTGGAAAATTCTTTGTCGTGGGAAACTGCGCCAGTATGGCGAAAGGTTCGCATTGTGGACGCGAAAGACGACAGGGCCAAACCCCGCCCCACCTCAGACTTCCAATTTGCTTTTTCCAGGGCTGGCTCAGACTTCCAAT